ACTCTCCACTACATCAATGTGCCCTCTATCCCGGTACTGTATATAAGCACCTCATTCAAATAATGTTATCACTTTTTTGAGACTGACTCCATCCCAGTTTCTAGTACCAGCTGTTAGTGGGGAGGAAGGGCAGGAGAGTGTGAAAAGAGGTAAGTAGCATTGGAAATACATTTTCAATTTAGGAAAATGTTAATTTCCAAAACATACATAACTCCGCTCCCACTTTTAACTAGAATCTCACACTGAGAAAGTGTCTGCATAGATCATGGGTGTGTCAACAGAAGATTGGCACCCTAGTGGGGGAACCACACTACATCCAGGATAGGTATGCTCTTCACCCTGAATGTAATTCCTGTATCGTGGGGAGAACTGTATGTGAGTGATCATAACTATGGGCCAGCTCCAACCAGATAGCCGAGGTTCCACTACTCGGGGTTGGAATTAAGGGGTCTTGGTCCCTGTATCCCACACTGGTAGTTCGGGCAATTGGACTTCAATGTTATATCTATACATACTAATGAGTGGATCCCAACCTGTAGCCATAGAGTAATACCACCAGAATCATGACAAGAAAATAAGCAACACCGAAGTGGACAAACCTCCTCCACCTGAAGAAGCCCAAAAAAGGCAACACCTTATGCTCAGAATGATGGAATCGTGTATGGCTTACTCAACAAAAAGGAAACAGAACTCATCCAGTCTGGAATTATGAACATTCATCCTTATTCCCCAACTGTATGAGCCCCTGGAATTATGGGGAGGATGTGGAACAACTGTGCTCAACCAAGGACCCAGTATGTGACCACCTCGCCTTCAAAAATTATGAGGAGATAATGAACCATCTTCCATGAACAATGTACTGAATCTATATTGATCAAACAGAAGGGCCATGCACACCCCAACCAGATAGCGAAGCATCAAATCTGAACTGATATTATGAGTAGGCTCCTGCATAGGCTGGTGCTGCTCCTACCAACATCTGGGAAAAAGAAAAACATCCAGAAGCTCAAGTAGGAGAGCCCCCAACTTTGCCCTCTTCTCTAAGAGTGGAGAAATTCAATCAAACACTCTGGAGGAAAAGCCTCTGTCCATCATCCCAGTGACTGGAAAGTGGGTGTGGGAAGGACTTCCTAGCTCCGCTACTAGAATCTGGGGGGTAATGTGCATTGAGGAGTCCTATGGAACAGTGCTCTAGAAACAGTGTAATAGGTGAACCAAGTTCCTTAAATTTTTAAAAGCAAAATGACACAAATTTATTCAATTTGATGACTGGAAGGGATAGACAGGATTCCCTTATGCCTTAGACATGATAGTCCATGAGTGGCTGTCCAACATTGTACAGTAATACACCTGATCAGCTCTTAGGTGGTCTTATGGAACACCTCATTTCCACAGTGCCTGTTGCAACCTATATAAAGTATACTGAATTAGTCGTTGCTTGTGTGGAATTAGTTTGATAAAAGCACACTTGCCACAGAGTGGGATCCTGTGAAAACAAGTTAAGGTACCCTGAAAGGTAACAATGAAAAGACTCACCCCTCTGTATAAACTAGCTGAAATGGTTAAGATAGCTACAGGAGATAGGCAAAAAATCTCATCTGAAGAGACTGCCAGATCAGGTAAATAATGCGAGATAAAAGTATTGGAGGAGGTCCACATACCAGTCTGCACAATGACCTTCAGTGGGCAACTTGACCAAGCCACTAAGCGCATAGAAATGTGACAAATCTGATTAGATGTGACTCTCATATAAATCCTCACCTTTAAAGAGAGCCTAGAAGAAAATGCATTGTCTAGCATCTCTAAAAGCATTAGAGCAGGCAACAAAACCTTCAAGACCATCACTGAACATGACCACGATCGAAATCTGATTGAACATAGAAGTGAGAAATAGTGATCAGATGAATAGGTGAATAGGACTTTAACCCCTTTCCTGTCTGACAATGTTTTGGATAAGAAGAACTGGTCTGAGGATGTAGAGAGAATAAGAAAGAGGTCTGTGGACAAATTACTCCAACTCGTGATGTCTGTAGGTCAGCAGCCATGAAAAATAAACCTTCAGGTAAAAGGGATACATGGTATATACAAGTCAGGGCACAAAGAGGTGTTGAGAAAGAGCCTGTACTGTAATCTTAATATACCTGTTAGATAACTGGAATGGTCATTTGGGACCAAGGACCTAAAGCTACTTGAAAAACAATAAATTTAGCATTTCCTTTAGCTTTAAGGCCTTTTGCACCAGGGTATTTGACTTGGTGAACTTATTTTTTTCTACATTGGTTGTGAAAACAAATTAGTCATGTAGTTTTCAAATATACATATCAAAGCCAAAAAAAAAGTAAAAAAATATCAGGCACTAGAAAAGAATGTTTGAAAAATACCAGAATTTAACTGACTTTCCAACTGACCTAAAAAAATATTTTTAAAAAATTCCATTATTGCTCAGAGCAATGCCTTTAGTTTCAACACCTCTAGCTCTCCTCCTGAACTATCGACTTTGACAACTAAAACAAAACACATAATTGTCTTATTTACGTACTTCAGAATGTACTCTTTCTATTGGTTATAATAAACATGTCGAATAGCATTATCAAAGGAAATTATACATATTTCTTAAAATACAGAAAATATAGGAGGGCTATGTCATATGGGTTGAACAAATATAGCGATATCTCAGTAATGTAAGAAGATATTGAAATTTTATAATCTGATTTGTAAATATCTGTAGCACATTTCTAATAGGTTGAACAATAGGAACCAATTTATAAGGGAAGAGTAAATATTTCCTTTCGAAATTAAAAAAATTAAAACTCAGATAATATAAAATATATATTGTATACAACAAACTTGTAATGTTTACTAAATATTTGCAAAACCCTGTGAAGATACACATAGTAAATCCAGAATTATAGTAAACATTACAATGTATGGCTTTGCTGATGAGGGGTCATACAATGGACTCATTTTGATACAGTATTGAAACTCTAAAATATGTTAACTGAAAAAATTCTTCAATATCATTATTAAATACAAAGTATCATGTCAGCAAAATTTAGGTAAAAGAATAATATATTTCTCCTTTCTATCTTCAAAACATTACTTATGGTTACGTGCTAAATTCTGTGTGAAAGGAAGAAAAGGAAAAATTTAATGAACACCATTCATATAGAGGTAAACCATTTTCCAATCAAAAAATACAGAATAATCCTTCATTAAACCTCATAACTGATGTAAAAATTGTTTACAGTGATTACCTAACACCTGAAAATACACAAAGAAAGTTTTACAATTGTTTGATGCATACAAAGAAACAGCTTGCATGGATATTTTTGAAAAGTTCCAATGAAAATGCCAAAAAAATATTCATTTCAAATGCAAATAAAAAACCAACTCACAAAACCTAAGCAGTGTTTAGCAAACACTGAACACCTATCAGAAAGCATATATTTCATAAGCTGCCCTCATCAGTTTGAAAACAAAAACATATTTGTGTAATTTAACTGATATCACAAATATTAACATAAGGAAAAAGAATTCCTGTATGAGTAGCATGAGAATGAGTTCCCCAAAGAATTAACAATGCTTGAGTGTAGCAGAACAAAAACAAATTGGACAAGCATAACACCTCTTACTCATTTTTTATTTAAAAAAAACTTTTTTCTAAAATCAGAAATAAAGCATCAATATATTTGAATGTATTTTCAATCACTAAAATTATGATAACAAAAGTATAAGGGTCAATGAATTTCATTCCATTGTAGAACTATTTTGACAAAATCAGTTGACATTTCTTAAATTCTATATTTAATTACTACTATTTTAAGAAAACTCAAAACTTTCATCATTACATAACAAAAAGAAAAGAGTATTTATTTGCTGTACATTACATATATTTGAATTGGATTTCCAAGAATAAGTTGATATAAAATGTGCAAAAAGGTGCAACTTTTTTCACTTTAAAACATAAATTGCATTGATAGAAGAAATCCTTGTGATTTTTCTGCAAGCACTAGAAGCTTAGACGTTAAGACTGAATATAGGATTAGAAAGAAATATGTTATTAAATAGAGTAGTTTAAAGATTGTAAAATGGGTCACTTCAATATCTTGTACAGCCAAATTTATGATAAAAGAATTTCTTTCAATAATGAATTTTTATAACTATTCTTATTTCTTTTTTATGACCATCAATAATAAATAATAGCTTATTACAGAATAACATTTCATATAAAATCATTGTGAATTTTCTAAGGATATGAAACTTTTGGAATTATTTCTTTCAAAAGTGTAGCTTATATAAATCAAAACAAATGTAAAAGAAACAAGAAAAATACAAGGTAAGATCATACAGAGAGAAGAAAAATTAAACAAACAATTTTCCTCTCCAGCTACTTCTATAGAAAGTTTTCAACGTAAATTTAGGAATGTCTTGCAATGCTATATTTGTTAAGTAGTACTATGTTATACATTTCTTACCTTTACCACAGCGATTGCAAGTAGATCTTCTGGCAAAGTTAATGTTGCCACACCTGGAAGTAAGTAATGATAATAATGCATCAATAATGAATTATTCTGCATGACATTTAAATAGAGTTGTGCTTGAAGGTTTATTCTCTGGCCTGGAATTTGAAGATATTTCTAATGGAAAATTCAATTTTTTTTTTGTATAATGCCTATTACAAAAAACAAACACACATCACCAAAACATTATATATAGCAACTCTTACTGTGAAGCAGTGGGGCACAATGAATTATGTTAACAACGGCACTGCTTCAATAAAATGTACTGAATATTTAGTGTATAAGACATAACAAAAGTGGTATGGAAGAATAAGTATGTAACAAAATACATGCAAATACTTATAATTTTGATAAGGGAATGAAAGCAGTGATGTAACTCTATGTCCCCCCCCCCCCAAGGTGTATGTTTAATCATCAACAGTGTTGTGAAAAAAATGATAACATTCTATCATTATATTTGAAGGTACACATTTATTTTCTAATAGAACTGTTAAAGTTATTTATTCCATTTTGCTGTTTATTAGATATATTTAATTAATCAAAATGTTATGTTAAAATGAGTGTAAACATGCCTGGAATGGTGACTGTCAAGTACATTTGTTTTGCTGAAGTTAGCTGCAGTTCTTTCAATTGGCTGCAATAAGGTGCAAGCTTAATGTATGTAGCTATATGAATGCCTCATTAACTACAAACGTGAACATAAGCAGTGTGCATTTTTTTAAATATAAAAACATGATTAGTGTTCTATAGGATATTTAAACTAAATGTGAATGTCTTATATGTAAAAGGGTTTTCATTCAAATATAAACCAGTTGTTATTGTGACTCATTAGTAAATTGTGCAAATATAAATGTTAATGAAGGTTCAAATCTTTGTTTGATAATATGTTCGGAATCTTCAGAGGTCAAAATTTATCCTTCACTACAGTTCTACATTTAATTAACTAATTTTGAAGTTTTGCAAAGCTGTAAAAAAATACTAGTTTCAACAAAAATACAAATTGATCATATTAAGCAATATTCAATAGGCCAGCTATCAAACAAATAAGAAATATGCGGAACATTTTTATTATGATACACAATAGCAAAAAAGAAGAAAACCGTGAAGTTATAAGAAAAATTATGGTAGAGTCTGATATGATTAAAGCTAAACAATTAGTAGAATTTGCTAATCAATTACATTCAACTGATCAATTCTCAAAAATGGTTTAGTAAAACATAATACTAAAAATTGGGTTTTGATACCCATGGTGGGCAGAGCAGAGAGAGCCTGCTGGGTAGCTTTGTGCTTAACAACAACCAAACATTATGCCAATATCCTGACTGCTAGTAATATTCATAAACCCTAATTTGGATTATTTGATTATTTTCTTGAGTTGTGACATTAATCGATTAAGTTGAGCAAACATGAATTAAACTAAAATAATAATAATGAAAAACCTTAAAGGCAATATTGATTAATGAATAGCTGAAATAACTGGAAATATAAATTCTGATTAGTTAATTATTCTTGTGACATTAATTGATTGAATAATAATTTTAGTTGCTGAATAGTTGGAATGATCAAAACCAGTAACAATTTTTAACACTTATTCTTAACTTTTTTAATGCAAACTGCAGTTCATTATGAAAAATTTCTATAAACACAAGTAAAATCATGACCTATATCTCCAGAATGTATCTTTATTAGCTCAATATTTCGCTATTACAGCTCTGTCAGGAGCTATTGATATCCTACAAGTTCACTAATCCAGTTAAATCTAAATTGGAACACTTTCATTCGTAAAACAAACATTGATACACGTTTAGAAATATCATACTGTATTAAAATACTATCAAACATTTTTGAATTTATACTGTTAAGACAAATCAAACCAACAATGCTAAATAAACAAGATGCGTAAACCAATAAATAAACTACTGGATTTAGAATAGAATACCTATCTAAAACATTTCTTCATATTTGTATTGGTAAGTATTTTTCCATCTTATTATATCAATACATACAAAAAACAATGTCTGAACATATATTTCAACCCCTGTAAGTGTTTATAGAGACTTCATCAAAGTTCAACATATCAAAATCTTTAAAATGGCATTAATGTCTCTACAGTAAAGGCCAACCTTTGTATTTGTTCAATTTAGTTTTATTTTTCTTGATTAAAATGGATTCTTTAATTTTTCTGTCCAGAAAATTATAACATTTAGATAACATCTTGACATCCGATAAGATGTTATCCACTTGTGGTAGGCCACATTATTTTCCCTAATGTTCTGCAATAGCATTGTCAGTATTAAGGTTTTGAATGTCACACACATGTTCAGATATTCGATCATGTACAGGTCAGCAAGTTTCACCTATAAACGTACTAGAGCATCTGCCACAAGTTACTTCACAATTAATGTTTTTGCTATGGCATCTATCATGTAGTCCATATTTAGTAGCTTCACAGTTATTTTTCATACATTGTGTTTCTTTCTTGTATGCTTAACTTGTTATTAATGATTTAAGAGAGATGCCTGATTTTTGTACTATTTTAATAGGCAAGTCTGATGCTCTAATTAATGTATTTACTTTTGTGGTATATAATATCACTTATATATGGAATCACCCAAGTTGCCTGAACATTAAATGTGCTTTATTTTTATGGTTCAAGAGAAAATGCCTATTTTCTTTTTGCCCATTAAAATTTCTTATTATGTTTTGTATAAATTTCTGTGGATAGGCATTTTTTCTTAAAAAGAGTCATCAGGTTTTCCCTAGCCTCCTCCCACATTTCTTTGTTATTCCATACTTTATCAATCCTATGGAGGTAGCCAATAACAACACCTCTTTTTACAGCAGGGGGACGATAAGAGTGGAAATGCAAACAAAGAGCTTTAGTAGACGGCTTGCTGAAAATACCAGTAAAGATTTCCCCATTCTTGACACGAATTGTAGTATCTAGAAACAGTAAATTTCCACCTAGTATGGCATAAGCAAGTGTAAATTTTATGAATAGAATTAAGTATGGTAAAAGTTTAGCTCCAACTAATCTAGAGCAAAAAATGTACACAAGTTACAGTGGTAATTGAATATAGAGCAAATTTAATAAAGGCTTAACTTCTAGATTTCAGTGTCTGTGATTACAATTCTTTTGTATTCTTTTGAAATTGAAAATGCTGATGATCAGCTCAATACTTAGCACTCATTTGCTTCCTCTTAAGTTAGTTAACTGAAAATATAATCCTGTATTTATAAAAGTATTGTTGCAATAAATATACTAATTTGACTGCAAATGTTTTGTGGGTCTCTGCTAATAAACAATGAATGTAAAAGCAAATACAGCTTCTAAAAACTATTGTTTATAACCAATATCAAGCTCAAGTTTCCATGTAAGAGTATTTAAATGTCCAAAAACACATAAATAATGTATATATATATATATATGTGTTGTTTTTAATTTATTTTTATTGTTCTATTAACATAACAGCAATGATTTCCATATATGACTATGTTGAAGATCTAGATTACCCTCCATCTAGATAATTAATGCTATTTCATTTAAACAAACCCCTACGAGTTCATTTGCTCATGGACCATTGTCGGGGGTATGGGAATAGACTCATGGTGGTTTTATTGACAGTAATTTATTACTTTCTTAGAATGCATAGAGACTAAACTGTATGATTCTCCTATTTGGACTATGAACTAATTCTGACAGGCAAGATGTATGTATTATTAGTTTTCAATGTAAGTTTATTTAAGAAACTGTTTGTTTTCATGTGATACATTGTGCTTGTTCATCATTGGCATCTGTTGTGAACTCCATAGAAACATTTGAGTGCAAATGACCATTGTTTAGTTAGGTTTGATGTTTTGCTGCATATGGCAATAAAGAATAACAAGATTTTAGTTCCAAATTTCAAAAAACAAAATTCTGAAGGGATGAGAAAAGAATTATCTCCTTGAATTGAGCAACTGAATTAATTGGAGATATACTGATCAAATGTGGAAAACTATTTTTAAATAAATTCTTAAATATTCAAGATAAGTTTGTTTCTCAAAGGAAAAAAAAGGGTGGATGCAAGTAAAAAACCATATTGGCTCAAAAAGGGTATAAAGTAAAAGATTAAAGAAAGCATTATAAATTTTAAATTGACTGCAATAAAAAAATTTTGAAGATAATAGAAGATCAAGAGAGTTGGTCAGATGTGAAGTAAGAAAATAAATTATATGAAAAATGATTGGCTTAAAATGTAAAAGATAATAAGGACTTCCTTAAATGCCTTAAGGACAACCAAAATGTTAGGATAGGAGTAGGGCCTTTTAGGGATGATACAGGAAGGCTAATATCTCATGATTATGGGATGGCTGGGTTATTAAATTTTATTTTTTCTTCAATGTTTATTAATGATAATTAAGCAATATTCCTCATATTAAGCAGTTGCAAGATGAGAACAAGATGATCACATTAATTCTGGGCCTAAAAAATCAGGAAACTGAAACAATGACAGAACTCATGAGCCACATAATATACCCATAAGAGTTTGAAAGATGTTAAAAACTGAATATGTAAACCACTTGCTACTACCAGAAAGTTGGATGATGATTAACATTACTCCTCTTTTCAAGGTAGGTGATAAAAATTGTCCCTGTAACTCTAGACCTATTAGTTTTACATCATTGGTAGAAAATATTTTTTTAATGTCTGATAAAAGATGCTTTGCAAAGTTACTTATCAAAGTTCAGAATTTGGTTGGATGTTCACAATGATTTACTAGGGAAAAATCTTGCCTCACTGATCTTTAGACTCTCTGAAGCAGTTACTGTTTATGTAGATGGGAGTACAGGTATAAATTTAGTGTTCCTGGATTTTCAGAAAGCATTTGCCAAGAGATCACATAAAATACTTGTTAAAAAAGTTATCTCTGTAGGCGTGGGGGACAGGATGGCTCATTGGATATAAAACTGGTTGGAAGGAAGAAAGCAGAAGCTTATTATAAATGGAGTCCAGCCAAACTGAATT